AAATGGGATCGTCGCGTCGGACGCCACTTTCTCGCCTGGCTGCGAAGTGCATCACCTTTTGCACCCTGTTTAGGTGACGCTCGGCCGCTCCACCCCAGGAGGAGAAGCAGTAGAGGGTGTAGGACAAGACCTGAATTTGGACAACGAGCCTCAGAATCTCAGGGGTGAAGTGGCGTCAAATTTTGAGCAGGGGTAGGAGGACTGCATTACAACTCTGGACGAGTAAGAAGATGTGGGGTTTCCATGTGAGGTGGTGGTCGAAGAGTACACCCAGCATCTTTGCTGAAGATGATGGATGGTTGTCTGTGCCGGAAATGACAATGTGGAAGCTGCCGGTCTTTGTAATGGTTTGGTGCCGATCGGCATAAAGTCTGTCTTTTTAGGGCTCGTAGTTTTTAAACCTATTTTAACTATGAATTCAGCGAGTTCAAAACTCAGACCAGTTTCGAAGGCACTGAATGGATTTCTCAACACAGGCTTTCAGGCTGGATAGGACGACGACGTCGGGGCTGACTGAGTCAAGGAGTTGAGTTTACGATATTAGGCGGCAGTGGGGTAGGAAGCCGGATAAGTGATGGATGAAGATGATGAACAGGAGTGGGCCGATAAGGCATCCCTGGGCCACCCCGTGGGATACGGATAGGGTAACCGAGCCAACAGTAACCACCTACTTCCAACCGCCCAGGTGGTCCCGGAACCATTCCGAGAACACCTCGCACCATTCCAGCTTGCTGAGAAGGACGCCGTGATCAACGCTATCAAAGGCCTTGCTAAGGTCAATCGTCGTCATCGACGCGTTATTGCCGTTATCGACAGCCTTTACCAACCACCCGACAGCGTCGATCAGGGCGTCCTCCGTCGAGTGGCGTCGACGGTAAGCTCCTTGCGATGGCGTCAGTACAGGTTGTCAAAAAGGTATGAGGCCAGCTGCGACCAGACGACCTTCCTGGCAATTTTCGGCGGTTCGGAGAGAATAGAAACGGGACAAAAGTTGTTCAGGTCTGATCAATCGCTTGACATGAACGCCGGGGTGACGCGCGTAATCTTCCAGACGGACGGAAAGCTGTGTGATGTGATATAAGTTTATCAGACGTAGAAGATGAGTCGATTGCAGGGGCACTTTTCCCTGCATGGAGTGGTGCGCCATCGACGCCGACAGCCCTCAACGCGCTCATTTTCCAGCCGGCTGCAGGGAGCTCCGGTAGAGTGGCTGGATGCAGGGAGAACGCCGAGACACAGACACGGTACGGGCGCGGTCCAGCCGGGGGCGCACCCGCACCGCCACGCACCGCCGCCGCCTCCTTGGCGATGCGGGGTCCAACGCCAGCGAAGTAGCCTTTGAGTGCGTCCGCCGGGGTTCCCATGCCGTAATCGAGGGTGTCGGGGCTGCAACCCTCTCTGCAGCCCTCTGTCGTGGCCCCCTCGCTGGCTGCAGTCTGAACTGCTTGATGCGGCTCCAGAAATCTCGCCGCCCTGTCAGCAGACCGCTGCACAGGTAGAAGCGTCACACGAGAGTGATCAATCCCTTCACCCTGTTACGGCACCGCTGGTACGCGCGGCGCGCCCCTGTGGTACGGCAGCGCCCCCAGGCCTCGCATGCGCATTCTCGCTCCTCTCTGGCTGCGGGGACTTCGGTATATCCACGCAGCCATGCACAGCCACGCCGGCATGACGTCACGGCGATGGTCGGGCAGTGAGCGGCGACTGCGGAGTTCCACACTTCCATAGATGCAGCCACCTTGTCGTCGACGGTGCCAGCGGCGTAGAGCGACTCCCAATTGGCAAGCAGCAGACTCAGGCTGAACGCGTCCCAGCCGGCACTTTTTCACGGCCGCACAGTGGTTGTGACTGACCGCCGGCGCTCTCTGGGGACGGGAGCACGGAGTAGCACCGGTTGGTGATCCGGATGGCGAACCGGTTGGTTGGTTGGTTGCTTGGTCACGTTGGTGACGATCAGGGCGATCAGGAACACTGCTCAAAGAGCCGTGCTCGTGTTGGGTGGAGGTGGGTGGGCCTGACGACCATTTGTTTGAGACTGATGTCTCTCAGCATGGTCCGGAAAACGCGTACACCGGGGCCGTCTGGGCTTACAAATCAATTTTGAACTCTTCTGGTGCGAATACCTTTTTTCCTGTGGCGACGGCGGCCTGTAGTTGGTCTCGAACGCTCTCCATGCATCGGGACGTTGGTCCTCCCGGTGGTCGGTAAATGACACCGATCACCACCGTGCGGCGGCCGGGGCCGCTCACCGAGAACCACAGAGATTCCACCATGGGATCGGTACTACCTATATCGGGTTTTGCTGCGTGGAGGGAGTCCGTGACGAGAACCGCGACTCCACCTCTTCGTGCCTGGGTCTGCTGGGCTGCTGTCAGGTCAGCCGGGTGACATGGCAGTCGTGCCGTGGCATGCTGAAACCCGGGAATATCAGCACCCTGTCTGGTACCGTAGGCTTGAGCCATGTCTGAGACACACGCAGGTTGTCCATGCGGTATTTCTGCACCACCTGGTTGACATTGTCTAGTCGACATCATTACGATATCAACAGCATTACAGCGAGGTCGACTCCCGGGCCCAATAGCGCCGCCACAGCCGCATACCAGGGGCGAAATGGCAGCACGGCTCGGCTGGCGGGCACACTGGCGTCCTGTGGCCGGTCTACTGTGCGCCCGCCATAACCGCATACTAGCGGCGAAACTGCAGCACGGTTCGGCTGGCGGGCACACTGACGTCTGTGGCCGGTCTACTGTGCGCCCGCCATAACCGCATACTAGCGGCGAAACTGCAGCACGGCTCGGCTGGCGGGCACACTGGCGGTACGGCTCGGCTGGCGGGCACACTGGCGTCTGCGGCCGGTGTACTGTATCAGCAGCGCAAGCAGCGAGGCGGCCCCGCACGCCACCCGAATCGGCCGGCGGGTGCGGGCGCTGACCTCTCGCCGGCGGCGGATCAGACGGCACAGGAAGGTTGGCAGGCTGTGCCTGATTGTCTCGGTCACCCCACGTGCCACGTCTCCGTCCAGCCGATCACGCACGTTGAGCAGGTGCGACCGGTCGTACGTATGCGCCGTACAGCCGGCGACCGGCGATCCACTCTTCCCCGGACGGTGGAATCCGATGTCGACCGACCGGGGGTGCCCGGGTCCGCAGGCCCAGCATGATAACGAACATGGCTGGCGCACCAAAGGTGGCGCGCTTGGAAAGGAGGAGGTCCAGGAAGCCAGACATATCAGGGATGTACAGGTCACAAAATGAGTATCTGTGACTACTGGGCCATCAATGGCCATCGTAGCACTGATTGAGATGTCACCGAGATCGGGAAACATGAAATAAAAACACATGAAAACTGTGGAACTCCCTGGCGTGGTCGGACCGGGTGCACTCTGCTCCCAGGCGTGGTCGGACCAGGTGCGCTCTCCTCCCAGGCGCGGTCGGACCAGGCACACTCTCCTCCCTGGCGCGTTCGGACCAGGTACACTCCCCTCCCATGAGTGGTCGGACCAGGTGCACTCCTCCCAGGAGTGGTCGGACCAGGTGCACTCCCCTCCCAGACGCGGTCGGACCAGGTGCACTCCCCTCCCAGACGCGGTCGGACCAGGTGCACTCCTCCCAGACGCGGTCGGACCAGGTGCACTACCCTCCCAGACGCGGTCGGACCAGGTGCACTCTCCTCCCAGACGCGGTCGGACCAGGTGCACTCCCCTCCCAGACGCGGTCGGATCAGGTACACTCCCCTCCCAGACGCGGTCGGATCAGGTACACTCCCCTCCCAGACGCGGTCGGACCAGGTGCACTCCTCCCAGACGCGGTCGGACCAGGTGCACTACCCTCCCAGACGCGGTCGGACCAGGTGCACTCCCCTCCCATCGCGGCCGGACCAAGCGCACTCCTCCCAGACGCGGTCGGACCAGGTGCACTCCTCCCAGACGCGGCCGGACCAAGTGCACTCCTCCCAGACGCGGTCGGACCAGGTGCACTCCTCCCAGACGCGGTCGTACCAGGTGCACCACGCCGCCCAGGCCGGATCGGTGGCGGGCGTCGCTGGCTGGCGGCGGGCCAGGTGGGTCCGCTGGGCCGGTTATCGGCCGTCAGCGGCCCATTGAACCCGACCGGGCGGCACAAGGGAGGGTGCTGGCGACCGAGCGCCACCGCCGGCTAACTGCACGCCTCCGCTTTGTCTGGCGCTGTTTGTTCGGCCCCGGCGTGACGGCGCTGTATATCGGACATCGATGCGTGCGGCTCGCCAGGATCACTCCTTGGGTCGCGCGCAGGACGGGACTCCGACGATGGTGTCGGAGGTGGGCTTGTCAGCTGCGGTTGACAGACGGCTGGGACAGCGGCGTGTGGAGAGCACACCCTGACCACAGTTGGAGAGTACGTGCGAATCATATCTCAGATGTTGGGGTGGAATTACAGACATGCCTAGGCGTGGCAGGGAATTATCTCTGATTGCCTCCGCTTTATCGTGAGCTTGGGTCATTCGTAGAGAAATCTTGCCAAGCGTCTGTCAAATACAGGTCATGGATATCATAGAGATACTTCTTGTCGCTTGCCCTGGGGGTCGAACTAGTAGTGCAAGAGCGGAGCCAGCGTACATGCGACCTGGAGTTAATATCAGACTCGATGTATTGGGCGGTGTCGAGCGGTTCCGCTTCTTGGAGTCGATTGCGACCCACGGCGACTCAGGTCGAATTTTGGTTTCTGCCCCGGGCGGCACAGCACAGTTATGAGTCGATTTCGACTCCGACTCAGAGGAACCGTCAGTTTCCCGAATCGACTTCAAAGATTCAAATCCGGGGACAGCAGCATAGAAGATAACCCGGTTATATAGAAGCATTCACATGCTTACCTTTCATAGCATTGCAACCCATTCAGTCAAATCAAATCCACTTAATCCAATCCAATACATTCCTCGTAGACTGCGAGATATTGATTCTGAAGTCAACTTTGACTCCGTTCGGAACCAAACACGGGTCGGGTAACCAAGCACGGATCGCGTAACCAAGCACGGGTCGAGTAACCAAACACGGATCGGGTAACCCAGCACGGATCAGGTAACTAGGCACGGGTCGGGTAACCCATCACGGATCAGGTAACCAAACACGGGTCGGGTAACCAAGCACGGATCGGGTAACCAAGCATGGGTCGGGTAACCAAGGGTTGGATAACTGCTAAAATTGACAGGCCGCCGCGCTTGCCGCGCCGGTTGATCTGCAGCACCAGGCAAGCATACAGTGGTTCATGGTGGACCCGGGACCTTTCGATTACTACAGCAGGCTTCTCAGCAGCAGCAGCCTTTGCAGCGTATGCTGACACGGCATGGCTTCGAAGCGGCTCGAACCAGATGGTTGTTGTGGCTGGTCCCCAATTGCCGAGTTGGAGGGCGCCTACAGTCGAGCCCCGCCCTTGGTGAACCCTGGTCGTCTCCAGCTGTATGGAAGTCAAACAGCTTGAAACAGGCGGTTGCTGTAGCTGGTCCCGGATTGCCGAGTTGGACGGCGCCTACAGTCGAGCCCCGCCCCCGGTGAAGCCTGATCGACCTCCAGCTCTGTGGAAGCGCCCGCAGCAGTCGTCTGTTTACCGAGCTAACAAATAGAGTGGCGCCGAGTTTAGGCCTGTCAGAGAGGCCGCTGTTTAAGCGCGGACTGAGATCAATGCGCTTTCAGGGCACCGCCAAGGGTCGGGACAGGCGGTTAGTTTGGAAACATTGGATATTTGGTAAGGCCGCCAGCCGATTCCGTAGCGCGGTGGACAGATAATTTTTGCACGCTTGCGGTTTGCTTTCGCCAGAGCAATAGGCTCGCTATGATTGGGATCGCTCTGAGCCTGTTAAACCTGCATGACGGACGGCAAGTTTGCACAGTTCTTAGATGTTGCGGTGCCAAATGGGTTTTGAAATCCCTGCAGTCAGGTACGGACATAACTAATTCACCAACCCAGGAACAGCGTGGTGGCGTTGTCGTCGAAGCCGTAGTTTGGCACACATTGGTCATAATTAATGTTCTTGTTATCAGCGAGTTACGGTAGTATATAACTGCCACCCGTGATATTGGAGAGTTGGAAAGGGTGCATTTCATATTGCATTAAGCGCATGAGCCAATCAGATTTTCTGCATTAGATAGAGTGCCTCTAGTCCGCTTCATCTGCTTCACTCCCCGCATTCAACAGCATTACGAGCGTGTTTGGGGATCGGGTGTAGAGATTTTGTCTCAGTGAACGTCGTTTCTCTGAAAAAATGGTATCATTTATGGCTTGATCCGCCGCTCATAGTTGCCTTGGGGGTTGTTGTCCAACGATAATGTTGGAAGACGTGATATTAGCAGTTGCTGGTGCGAGCTAGGTGAATGGTGACATCTAAAGTTGATTTTACAGGTTTATTTTTTGGTTGCGAAGCCAAGTATTAGTAAATGTGTGATCTTTATTTCGCTGTTTTAGAACTGCAGCCAGGTGCAGTAGAGAAATGTACCAACAATATCGATGTTAGATGTGTTTTTATGCGGTAAAACTCCAGGCATTGAGAGCGTCTCGAGTAAAATAAACGCAGATGCAAGATATAAAGCTGACGAAAAGAAGCAAGGCAACCCACGTGACCCCAGCTAAACAGGCAGCGCTGCTCACACAATAAGCCCTCACGCCTTTACGTCCGAGCCGAGCAGAGTGCTGCACCGTCTGCACCGGCGTGTAACTCAACCAAACTGACGAGGAGCTGCGCTTGAGCTGTAAGTTAGCGCCCCGACGAGTTCGGAAATTGAGGATCACTGCCCGGGGCTGCGCTCTGCGCCGCGGCTTGTGAGTGATGAGACACTTCGTGTCATTTGGAGACCACTGATAGCGCCAGTCATTTATCCCCAAATAAGTTTCAAGAGCACTGGAACACGCTTCCGCTTTGCATGTCTTGATAATTAATGTGTCATGCGCTCGAAAAATTGTGATGTATTTCAGCTGATGCAGGAGTGGCCTGATTCGGGGGTAATTTTACATAATGTCACTTGCTTATATATCTGAGTTTCGTTGGAAGTCCTGAGGTCCTTGCAGTCAAAATATGCTGCAAATTTGTTGCTTGTGGATAATGCTCAGTTCATATCACTGTCGTCTACGCATTACCCATCATCTGTGCTGCCCGTCTCAATTCGCACCCCCTCGGCCGTCCAGGCGTTCCTCAGCAGCGCGCAGACGCGGCAGAGGCTTCACCGCCATCCGTGACCTGCCACAGATCCGCCAGGAGCAGATGCAGGAGATGAAGCGACTGGGGCTGAAGGAGGACCGAGCTGAGGTGCGGCCGCCGCCGCCCGGTCTGGAGGCGCGCGAGACGACCGGACTCGAGCCGGAGGAGACGGTGTCCGGCGCCTCCCCAGGACAGGAGAGCTGCGCAGCCCCCGCTGAGGACGACTCCAAGGTGAGGCCTCCCTCTGGTGCTTTTACTTTCCTGGGCAGGCGGGCTCTGCCTTTCCTACCAAGGACAGCAGGGGAAGATGCGCAGAATCCTCTCACTTTCACAGACAGGAGAGCTGCACGCCACCTCATGAACGAGCCTGAGTATTAAAGATCTACATCTCTTGCGCCGCTGTTAGCAGAATACCCAAAAGCTGTAAAGCACTCACCTTGGACAACTTCTGCCTATATGTGGTTCAATCAATATGTTCCTTGCGCCTTCCCGAATTTGTGCTGGTCCAGATGACCGTACAGTGCTTAGCTCCCTCCGTGTGTGACCCTGAGCGACAGCTCCAGCCCCTCGCAGCGTTACTGCACCCAGAGACACCCCGTCTGGTGCTCGCCAGATCTTGTAAGTGACGATTGCTGGAAAGTCTTTTCATTAAAGCCCACTCAAGCGTTCTCAGAAACACAAATTAAGTCGGCAAGCTGGCGAGTTGTTCTGTTCAACAAGACCGAGTTCCTGGCTGTGGCAAGCTGTCGGCACCCAATCAGCGCGCAGATTGAGGTCAAAGGAACTTAGTAAGGCGTCATCTGCATGATTACTGATTTGAAATTAAATCCCAGAAGGCCCGCACGTAATACAGTGCCTTAAGGAAGATTTTGATCACGTCGTTGGAACATTAATTCCTTGCATAATTGGCGTAGAAATTTTTCATTGAACACAAGACGCCACGTAGTTGTTAAGTACTTGTTCTCGTATGTTTACGTGTTTTTGAAGGTTCACGATGCTTCAAACCTACCTGATGCTAATTGAATGCGAAAACCAGAATTATCCAAGACAAACTTTTGTAATCAGACATCAGGTTGTTCAAGAACTTCACCAAGCGCCACACCCATTTCATGTTTAGGTAGCCATAAGAGAATATTTGCTCCTTCGTCGTTGCTAACACGTAATAATTCATTACCTTCAAGCTATAAAGGAGCGGCATTCCTTCCCGGACGCACCTGCACGTTGTAGCTTGTCGCGGATTGGCTCAATCCGCCGGCCGGGCTGCACGGGACCAAAAGTTTGCACCAAAACATTAGGTAGGACCGGTCCGGCTGTCCAAACCCACCAGCCTCCCACGGATTAGATGGATTGAAAGCCACCCAAATGGACGTCATCATTTAAAGTCCCTGAAATTCCCAATGAAGACGTCAACTCGGAAAAGAACCTTCAAACCAACAGAAAAATAGTTTCAGTTCCAAACGATGCACAAACAGGCTGCACAGTACATAACTTAGCCATATATTCCACTAGCAAATCTTCTGATGAACAGATTACGTTGACAAATTGATATAAGCGAGTGACACTCTGATAGCTGTTGTTATCATAGCATAGCTACCATTCCTCCTGATGTTGTCAGCAATGCCATTTAACTTCACTGGATAACATTGCATTTCAGATTTGAACGACTGGACAGAGGCATGCTCGGTTGGCAGACACCGCACAGTTTCGCAATCCCAGCTCTTCTCTGAGAAATACCAAAAAGGATTAACTCAATGGCAACACCATATGTTCTGCTTACTTAGTCAGCCAAGTTTTTTTAGTTTAGAACCAGTTTTAATTTAAGTATGCTGCGTTAGCTGATCCATTTATAGGTGTCTACCAGAGCAAAGATTGCTGCATCCTGACGGATGATTTTTTATCCACTCCCAGATTAATGTACCCCAAAGAATGGGCATGGTGGCCTCTACAGCCAGGGCCCAAAGCCAGCTTTTTCACCCAGCAGTTGGCTGCTTGCTGTGAGTTAGATGCTCGTAAGATCCAGACAAAAACTTTTGGGATTAGGTAGGTACTTAATGATTTGTGTCGCATCTATTTTACTCCCACTTTCATAAACCATCCGCAGATTGGGTGCCAGCAATGCGTTTGTATACCTAAGATTCTCATATAACGATTTAGAAGCTCGAAGAACCTGCACAGAAAGCCGGAAAGTTATCGAGGCTGAATATGATGTCACCCAAGGTCGTCGATTTACACCTCAAATAAAAATGCAAAAGTGCAAAGCAAAGCATTTCATGAGAAGTTTTATTCCTAACTGGTAACAAGCTGTTTTGGGCATCTTACCCACTCGTTTTGGCAACTTTTGCACATTTTTTCGGTAAAAATTAACCAATACCTTAGATTTAAGATACCGAGATGAACCAACTTCGCTGTTAGAACTTTAAAAGCTCTTTATGGGGAAGCGGGTTCTAAGAGACCCAAATGATGAGTTTTTTCTTTCGGTCCGAACCGGATTGGATTGAGAGGGATGAGAAAAGCGGATTGGTGGGCGGATTGGATCCAGACCAGCCAGACCAGACTGCACCGGATCCTGAAAATGCGATCCATGAAGTGCTTTCCTGCACATTTTACCCCGGACAGTGGCGGATCCAGCAATTCTTCGGAGATGCTGCCAGCGGGGGGGGGGGGGGGGAGGGGAGCAGACTCGCGTCGCCAGGCCCTCTGACCCCAAGGGGATGCCGCGAAGGGAGGGGAGCAGACTCGCGTCGCCAGGCCCCCTGACCCCGAGGGGATGCAGCGGAGGGAGGGGGAGCAGACTCGCGTCGCCAGGCCCTCTGACCCCAAGGGGATGCAGCGGGGGGAGGGGGAGCAGACTCGCGTCGCCAGGCCCTCTGACCCCAAGGGGATGCAGCGGGGGGAGGGGGAGCAGACTCGCGTCGCCAGGCCCTCTGACCCCAAGGGGATGCCGCGGAGGGAGGGGAGCAGACTCGCGTCGCCAGGCCCTCTGACCCCAAGGGGATGCCGCGGAGGGAGGGGAGCAGACTCGCGTCGCCAGGCCCCCTGGCCTCAAGGGGATGCCGCGGAGGGAGGGGAGCAGACTCGCGTCGCCAGGCCCTCTGACCCCAAGGGGATGCCGCGGAGGGAGGGGAGCAGACTCGCGTCGCCAGGCCCTCTGACCCCAAGGGGATGCCGCGGAGGGAGGGGAGCAGACTCGCGTCGCCAGGCCCCCTGGCCTCAAGGGGATGCCGCGGAGGGAGGGGAGCAGACTCGCGTCGCCAGGCCCTCTGGCCTCAAGGGGATGCCGCGGGGGGAGGGGGAGCAGACTCGCGTCGCCAGGCCCCCTGGCCTCAAGGGGATGCCGCGGAGGGAGGGGAGCAGACTCGCGTCGCCAGGCCCTCTGACCCCAAGGGGATGCCGCGGGGGGAGGGGAGCAGACTCGCGTCGCCAGGCCCTCTGACCCCAAGGGGATGCCGCGGAGGGAGGGGAGCAGACTCGCGTCGCCAGGCCCTCTGACCCCAAGGGGATGCCGCGGGGGGAGGGGGAGCAGACTCGCGTCGCCAGGCCCTCTGTCCCCGAGGGGATGCCGCGGAGGGAGGGGAGCAGACTCGCGTCGCCAGGCCCTCTGACCCCAAGGGGATGCAGCGGGGGGAGGGGGAGCAGACTCGCGTCGCCAGGCCCCCTGGCCTCAAGGGGATGCCGCGGAGGGAGGGGAGCAGACTCGCGTCGCCAGGCCCTCTGACCCCAAGGGGATGCCGCGGAGGGAGGGGAGCAGACTCGCGTCGCCAGACCCTCTGACCCCAAGGGGATGCCGCGGAGGGAGGGGAGCAGACTCGCGTCGCCAGGCCCTCTGACCCCAAGGGGATGCCGCAGAGGGAGGGGAGCAGACTCGCGTCGCCAGGCCCCCTGACCCCAAGGGGATGCAGCGGGGGGAGGGGGAGCAGACTCGTGTCGCTAGGCCCCCTGGCCTCAAGGGGATGCCGCGGAGGGAGGGGAGCAGACTCGCGTCGCCAGGCCCTCTGGCCTCAAGGGGATGTAGCGGGGGGAGGGGGAGCAGACTCGCGTCGCCATGCCCTCTGATCTCAAGTGGATGTGGACCTGCTCTTCAAAATAAAACTCACTGAACTCCGCTCACTTGATTTTAAAGGATTCACTTTGAATTTTCTTCTGAGAGTCGGTTCCCTTCCGGGACGTAGCCTGAGTCTCGGTAAGGAGGGGGGGGGGGGGGAGCAAAGTTGAATGAAGGGACCTGTTAAAAATTGTCCCCTCCAAAGAAAACCTGAAATGGAAAATGAGCGCTCAGCTGTTTTTGTAACGTAAGGAAGGTTTCAAGATCCGCCAGCGAAAATCTGATTGCGCAAAGATTACAGCAAGGATACCACTAACAAGTGTCCTCCAAACCTGACATTTCTGCCGGACTGATTTTGGATTGGATCATGGTCATGAATGCCTGCGATCCTAAGCGACAGAAAGAAGCGATCGCAGAAAATACGGTAAATTTGGCCGGAGGCCCAACGTAAAAGATAGGCATTGAAATGCTGGCGAGCACAGGGGAAAATGCTAGCACGTTGAAGCACACCATTCAACACAGCGTAGTCGAGTTGTCGGAAATCAACATGCAAGTACTTGCGAATTAAGAACTTTGTGATCCTCGGGTCATCGAAGCTTAGGATTTTCCTTTCTTGCTGCTGACGCTTAAAAACCCTAATTACCTTTTTTAAATTTCGGACTTTGTTGACCGGCTGCTACGTCTCTGTGATTTTGAAACAAACTAGGAATGGGAGCCTGTCGAATGGCACATTTTGTTATGAAGATGTTCTCGCAACAATCGCCTCGGCTACTTCGCATAGCTCAGACATCGTGCCTGATCTCTGACCATGAGATGGAGGATCAAAAGCTCAATTAATTCGGTGTTTAGATTTGTCTGCAATACAATTGACATGGGAAGTGAGACGTTCGTGGGAGCGCCGGTTGCCTGCATCATAACATGACAACCCACCTCTTGTAGCGCTGTATAGGAGCCGCTCAACTCCAACTGCACGCTCTCTGATTTGCCGTACAGGGATCCGACGTCCCCTACTCCACCCTGCATGTCCACGTGTATGTGCAGTGTTGCCTCCCCCCCCCCCCTCCGCTTCAACTCCGCTCCATGCGTCGCAGGGTTCGGACGAATTTGACGGCGCGCTGTTGCCGCGGGCGCTGGCGCCGTTCGCGGGAACGCCTCCGCAGCGGCACCGGGTGCTCAATATCCTGGACCGAGCTCGGCTCATCTCCGAGGGCGCGCGCATCGCCAAGGGCGTCGACAGCAGAAGGTGAGTGTTTGCGGCGCGGTGGCGGCGTGAGCGATGCTGCCTCTCGGTCACGAACGCGGCCCGTCGGCCTCTCGGTCGCGCGAACGGACCGCCAGCTCGTGCTCCAACGCCACCGCCGGCTCGTCGACGTTGCTGTCCTGCGGAGGCGGTGTCAAAATGAGTGGAACTAATGCAGCACTGGAGGGGAGCCACTCGAGGGCGCGCTAGGTGGCGGTAAACAGGGTTGCGATTTCCAGAGTGTTAAAGTACTTTGGTTTGTTGCCAGCGCGGGCGTAATGTACGCCTAATAAGTCCATAATACCCAACCGAAAATGGCTTAACTAAAACCTGCGTTCGTTAAGAGGCTTTGAGACTGAAGCTTTCTAACTATAGCGGGAGTCGGGGTGAGGTTTCCCATTTAGTTAAGGGGTGCCCCCCCCCCCCCCTTACCTGAGCTCCAGACCGCCAACTTTGAGATCCTGGTCGAATTTTAGGAGAAACCCGTTGGTTTGGCTATTTCGGGGAAGGCTGCGTCATTTTTCACAGTTGAGTCTTCCTTCCTCCCCAAATACTGTTGGAAAACTATGCCCCTGGCGGGAGATAATCATTTCACCTAAAGAACATAGCTGCGCGTTGCATGACATGCCCCCAGGCATAGCTGATGAACGTGGGACTAGGATTTTTTACTGATGCGTTTCCTTTCTATATTGGAATCGGATTCTGTACATAATCGATTCGCTCATCGTGGTATTCTGCACTTTCCAGCCCAAATATGTCGATAGAAACGTGATCCCAAGGTCTATAAAAGATCCGGGTTAGCTGTTTTAGGTCAAATTTACAACGCTTTAGGCAGGACAAACAAATACTGTTTGCCCACGGGCTGAGTGGTCTGAAACCAGTCTTTAGATATTGTGTCCGCTTACTTGTTTAATACGCACCCGAATGGCCGGTTGGATACGCTTCGCTCGGGTGGGATGGGAGGGGGGGGGACAGTTGGTCTCTCTGATATCTCAAAAACTAATATAGCTAGAAACACCAAGTTCACAGGATGAGTTTCCCCGTATCTGAACGATATTTGTGGCCTAGAGGTCGAATAAGGTCAAACAAGGTCAAACTCCAAATAACTGTCTAAAGTACCCCAGACCTTCTCATATGACCACCGTAAACCTAGATCCCAGTTCTAAGCCAAAGGTCAATTGTTTTCGTGAGGGTTAGTGATTTTTTACATTAAGAAGGTCAAGATGCCAATAACCTACGAGAATGTTCCTATTTTGTCATTCAAAGAGGCGTCAAGGAGTACGCTAGGTGGTGTGTTCCTGAAAAAAATTGATCTGGGTTATTTTAGGTCAGTGGCCTCATTTGACCTCTAAAAAGCACATGGAACAGGAATTTTGCGGTCTCTGTCCTTAATAAACACAAAATGAGAGCAAAAAGCTACCCCAAAACTTTTGAGCAAAAAGGCAGGTTAGTTTTGGCCTCGGAGTGGCCTTCATACCTGGCCCTAGGTCACTAAGAATTTGTTGCCATTCTTAACTCAATTGGCGCATTGCCTATGAAACTATTTCAGACATGCATGGCTTTGTCCAACACTTTCGTCGCATCAGATTGAACGATTCCCTGGAAATGGCCTTTGCTGACAATCACGGTCTAACTCACTTGCCATAGGTCAGTGACCTTACAAGATGCGGTTCATTTATTTATGCCATAACATACGGTTTTCAATTGCCTACAAGTATGTCAAATTTGACGCGGCGACGCCGCGCTGTCCGGAAAGCATTCCAGAAAAGAGAACGTTGGGGGGCTCAAATTGCCCGCCACCCGAGCGTGTGCTAATGCTGACTAACGATGATGGTGAACCATGTTAGCTGGTGTTTAAAACTGGCATAGGCTGGTAATGTGACAAGACAGTTGTTGCACCTGTCACGCTAACTTTCGTTGAAATTAGCCCAACTTTGACCTGTCGCCATTCAAGGATTCTCGTTCCGGCAGCTGAGCCGCACCAATCAGCTCCTCTCAGCATGCTCCACCCATGACGTCTGGACGGATGGGTGGCTGTTAAGGTGGTCGAAGTGTCCTCCAGAAAGTCAAACGGAACCCACGTCTGTCATGAAATGTCAGGAGCTGCGAAAGATCAATGGGTTCCCAGATCAAATGGCCGACGGGTGGGGGAGGAGCGGGCCCGAACCGGAATGGGCCAGATTGATGGAGACCTTTAAGAAAACCAGGATCGCATTGCGACCATCTCCTGAAACAAAACAGGCAGTATCCAGTGAGACGAGAGATACTGTGCTACAGCTACGCGTGGAATTAAACGACTTGTTTGAGCTGCTTTTAAATGTTGCAATCAATTGAACTGCTGCGCTTGTCTGCGATTTGACTCGCGATCCGACCTGCGATCTGACCTACGATCTGATCTGCGGTCGGATCTTATCTGAGATGGCTTGTTTAGTCCTGCATTGAATGGCCACATTCCAAGTACTCCGACGTCAGCACATTGCATGACTAAAGCGTAACGGTACATCCGTATTTGGACGGACATCTGAGCTCGATGTCCGGCCGATATTGAAGTGTCCCGTGTCTATGAGGTGAGAACCTTTGCGGTGAGAACCTATCTGCGTGGAAAGGTATAGCGTAACTATATGACAGTTTTGGATTGTACGTTTCAGCTTCGCTGTGGAAAGTTCCTACGATCTTCCAGATGCGTTCATAAGCCCTGAAGGTAAGTGTTGGCTACTGCAAAAGTGTGTGGCCAGAGAGTTGTATGCACATTCGTTTAAACAGTATCAGTTCCTTTTTCGTGCTCCCACCTCCATCCACGACCGTACAGTGATGCTACGCTGACATTTAGAAGTGAGGATTGATTGAATAACACTGGTTATTCACAGGTTTTCCGAGAGAAAACAATACTTAACTCTTTTTCACTGAATTATAGAAAAATTGATTTTGTTAATATCAGTGCAATTCTCCCACTCCCCAAAAAATCAAGTCCCAAATGCTTGCCTTAACAAGCATTATTTTTTGCTGTTTTACGCACAGCCTTGTTTTGTCCACGAAAACTCACCGCTGTCGCATTTCTGCGTGCCCAACTAAGCACATTACGCTCCAATCCTCGATTGAGCATGATATTGCTAGTGTGGGAAGCCAATGGCAACACCCCATCATAGCCCCCGTCGGCCGCACTGTGGCGGCCCTCCTCTGGCCCCCCGCCCCTGCTGCTGTCCGACTACCGTCACCGATCCATTCGGACAAGTATGTATCGGTGTCAGCTCATTAGCTCTCAGCGCCAGGAGAGGACCTAATTAAGCCGGCCAGTGTGGTCTGCACCAGCCAGCTGTTGCCCGGTCAGGCTGAGGAGCCGCGGACGGAAGAGTCGTCTGCACCAGCCAGCTGTTGCCCGGTCAGGCTGAGGAGCCACGGACGGAAGAGTCGTCTGCACCAGCCAGCTGTTGCCCGGTCAGGCTGAGGAGCCACGGATGGAAGAGTCGTCTGCACCAGCCAGCTGTTGCCCGGTCAGGCTGAGGAGCCACGGATGGAAGAGTCGTCTGCACCAGCCAGCTGTTGTCCGGTCAGGCTGAGGAGCCACGGACGGAAGAGTCGTCTGCACCAGCCAGCTGTTGTCCGGTCAGGCTGAGGAGCCACGGATGGAAGAGTCGTTGCACCAGCCAGCTGTTGCCCGGTCAGGCTGAGGAGCCATGGACGGAAGAGTCGTCTGCACCAGCCAGCTGTTGCCCGGTCAGGCTGAGGAGCCATGGACGGAAGAGTCGTCTGCACCAGCCAGCTGTTGCCCGGTCAGGCTGAGGAGCCACGGACGGAAGAGTCGTCTGCACCAGCCAGCTGTTGTCCGGTCAGGCTGAGGAGCCATGGACGGAAGAGTCGTCTGCACCAGCCAGCTGTTGCCCGGTCAGGCTGAGGAGCCACGGATGGAAGGTCGTCGAGTGGGGAGGAGGGCAACTCGCGAACAATGCTTATAGGGGACGTAGCTACCCAAACAATACGCCCTACCGTAAAGGGCTCTGCTTTTTCGATGTTTGGATGGGATGGCCGTTTGCCCCTTCCCTAAACGTCGTATCTGTCAGTGGTGGCATTCGAGAGCTCTCAGCGGTAGCACCAGCTCCATCGTGGGCAGCTCGGACCGGGGCCCGAACGACTGATCGGATCCTCGCGAAGCACCAGTCAACAGCGCGCTACTGTGGGCCGTGGCGGTCCCGTTCAGGTTGGTGTGACAGGATGAGCCACCCTCTGCGAACTCGAGGACGTAGTTTGCGAGAGAGAGACTCCAACAGCAAATCTTTTGGAGGGTCCGAATGCCGCATCGGCTACCCGGAAACTTCAGATTTTCGGGACAGATCGTAAAACCTCGGAAACCAGATCTTCAGGACAGATCGACGCCTCTCCACCGCCGAAACCAGATCTTCAGGACAGATCGACGCCTCTCCACCGCCTCGGGTGCGGTCACGTTGCGCTCTCCCTGGGATTCGCCAGTGTTGGGAAAACCTTAGGAAAGAAGCGCAACAGCCCTTTTCATGCAAGCATTAATAGACGGGGACGCAATTTGATTTCAACTCTGACATGCGCCAAAGATGAAATAAGCAGGAGCAAGACACGTGGTTTGTTGTTCGATCAAAAAAAGCTGTAAATGCTTACTCCGGAAAGTCTTATTCTACATATACAACCACATAAGTATTCTCCATTTCACGTTTGCGATGCATCTTAATTTAATCCACGGGACTAAAACCGCGAGCGTAAAGTGGCGTATTGGTTGATGGTGATGAAACAAGGCTGCTTCCAGGGTGTAGTTTCTGGGCTGCTTTGATCAACCTGACGAGTTCCTATGCTGCTTTGATCAACCTGACGAGTTTCAGGGTTCTTTTGTTCGACCTGACGAGTTTCTGGGTTTTTTTGATAAACTCGACAAGTTTCTGGGCTGTTCTGAGATCGACCTGGCGATTTTCTCGGCTATTTTGATCGATTTGACGAGTTTCTAGGCTATTTTAATTGACCTGACAAGTTTCCGGGCTATTTTGGTTAACCCACGGTGTGTTTTTCTCCCTGTTGATATAGTTTCTGTGCAGACGGGCTAATATCCTTATCCGCTGCCTGACCAGAAGTAACGGCAGCGATATGAGTGTAAAGGTACAAATGTTCGTTTATTTTTTAGGGAGTTTTCCACCGCGGCGTAAGAAAATGCACCCATCGCTTTATTAACGATGCGTGTTATGATGACGATAAATAGGGCTGCCACTTCATGCCTCGACCGTAAAGCGCTTTTAAGAGCGCGATCGTCGACGAAAAATGAGAAAAAAATAACGTTCCAGATGACGCGTGGTTGTGGCTTCAGCATTTATGGTGCAATAAGGTAATTAGTATGCGGAACACTGAAAGCCACGGGAGCAAAAAGCGCCACTCGCCTTTTTTCGACAGATGACCTTCTCTGGGACTGCGCATCTTTATCAATACCTCACCAACACTTTTGACATATTTCAAATGCATCTCTATCAATATCTTACCTACACTTTTGACCTATCTTAAACTCGAATGACATACAATAAACAATACGCAAAATTCATCATGGAATTACTGTGTGAATTTTGCGCCTCACTTAATCGTATTTCAGTCGCGTTAGGGACTGCATAGTCAAGGAATATGCCTTTGGCTTCATTGTACTTTGACATGCGTATCGCTGAATACATAGGACCCACGGAACATGTTAGCGGATAACAATGACGGTGATCAGCATCAACACTAAAACACAAATCGGGAACGAGGTTGAGACCAGGTCACCAACGCCTCACGAAGCCAAAAAAGCGGCCCATCTGCGCAAGAGGCAACTCCGCCGGTGCACAGTCAAGCGCCAAATGGACTGCATGCCGCCATGTTGGCTGTTCGGTGGCTTGCGAGACGACTAAGCGCGCGCCCCAGCCCGTCTTGTGTGCTCGTTGTCAGGGTCATGGCTGCGGGACGACTAAGCGCGCGCCCCAGCCCGTCTTGTGTGCTCGTTGTCAGGGTCATGGCTGCGGGACGACTAAGCGCGCGCCCCAGCCCGTCTTGTGTGCGCGTTGTCAGGGCCAAGGCGGAAGCTGGATGGGCCGGCCAGCTGCGGTAGACGTTGGTAGCGGTGCTATCGGCAGTTGCCTTGCCCGTCGGCGATGACAGCGGGCAGGTGCACTCCTGCGACGCCTCTGATGCGCTGGAAATGCTGATAGAGGCACCCAAACTGCAAATAAGACAATTTTTCTGTGTGCTTAATAGTCAAGTTTCTGCCGTTTGGCAAGCTTGTTCTGTGTTTGGATTCGCGCGGTTGGTGTTTGTTATGATTATACCAATGTTATGTCACACCAAGGCACAAGCTTACGGGATGGCAGCAGGTTTACGGCGCCGGATGAAATGACGCGCGTGTTTGAAAAGTCGGGCTAGTTGTGTGCGGCGCACCAAGTCGGGCTAGTTGTGTGCGGCGTACCAAGTCGCGCTTCTTGTATGCGGCACACATAGTCCGGCTAGTTGTGTGCGGCGCACCAAGGAGAGCACCTGGCAGTGGCCGGGGGCAAGAGCATGCCGATTATTCATCCTACAAGCGGATGAGATGAAATTGATTTATCGCCGTTGTTTCGGTGTAGAATGTCACAGCCCTGGTTTGATTTGCTGCTGCTCTCACATTGCAAGGTTCACATTCGTCCACACGCCTGCGGACGCACGCTACGCAGCGGCCGTATGTTAAATGCAGACCTTCTTGAAGACTGATTTGACTTCAGACGCCTTTAATGCTGAATGTCTCGACTGTTGACTGTCTCGACCGCAAAAAGGGATATCGATTGCCTCGACTGCAGGCTGTGTCAACCACGGACCGTCTCGACTGTAACCTATCTTTAATGCTGACTGCCTCAGTTGCGGCTGACTTGACTGCAGGCTGTCCTGACCGCGGTCGGCTGCAAACAATCTTGACTGTGGACTTCCTGGACTGCAAACTCGCGTGTCTCGACTGCAGACTGATGTGTCTGGAGTACAGACTGATACGTCTAGATTCCAACCTGGTGTGTCTCGACTGCAGAATGGCGTGTGTCAACTGCAAACTTGTGTGTTTAAGCAACCACAGTGCATGTGTCAACCGCATGCTTAGTCTAATGCTCATTAGTATTATTTTCCACCGGGCTTGAAGCGCTCCCGTCCGCAGGCACTGCTCAGTGGGCTGTGATTTGCCGTGAAGGTGGAGGAAAAGAAGGAGGGACGCTCAGAGCTGGTCTGGATCATTCGGGCATGGCTTGAAACTTGTCGAATGGTCGAAAAGGCGGAAGGATTTCATTAGGCTGTACTTCGACACAGCTTCAACCTCGGCCCACTCTGGTATCGTATCGGGTCGTTTGGGCGGTGCTGAACAGCGCCCCCAAGAGATGGCGTCGGAAAGAGCAGCTGGTGTAATGGATGACAGGCGGAGCAGTTACTTTAGATCGACGTGAGTTTGAGCAGTTTTCTTCCGGCGTACACATGTCTGGGCGGCTAACTCCTAACAGGCAGGTCTTAGTCCCAGCAGACACATGTCTGGGCAGCTAACTCCCAACAGACAGGTGTATGAGTAGCTAGTCCCGGCAGACGTATGCGTAGCCTACGCCCCACAGACAAATGTTAGAGTAGTTTCGTCTGCCGACAGACGAAATGCAAAGCATGATCTCACTGAGCGGACACGTGTCATGGTGCATCTGCCAACAGTTACGGAAAGGTCAGTGC